CCCTGATCCCGGCCCCGGCCAGCTCACCCGCAGCCACGGCCCCGCACAGCACAGGGACCCCGCACAGCACAGGGACCCCGCACAGCACAGGGACCCGCACAGCACAGGGACCAGCACAGCACAGGAACCCGCACAGCACAGGGACCCGCACAGCACAGGGACCCCGCACGGCACAGGGACCCGCACAGCACAGGGACCCGCACAGCAGGGACCCGCACACCGGGCAGCTCCCTCTCAGCCCGTCCCGCCTCACACCCGGCAGCGCTGCAGTTTGTTGTGACTCTGAAAGAGGCCCCGTCAGGGTGGGAACAACAGAAAGGAACAAGCAGTTACAGGCATACCCTGTTCCCATCAGTTTCAGTGATGCCTCCCTGCTCCGCCGGTGACATTTTTGGTACAACTGATGTCCAGAGTCAGTTTATATGCCAGCAGTGTGTTCTGTGTTACCCCTCAGACACCTGGACAAGGCCCCCAGTGCAGCCCTGCCTCACACACAGCTCCAGCCCCGCTTGGGATGAAGGCAGAGCTTGGATAAATATCATTTCCTAAAGCAAACTCATGGTGTTCTGGTATGTTGAGCTGTTTCTTTATGAAGCAAACCCATTCGATAGCAGAAGTCCTATTTATTAAGGCCTCCTCCCACAAAAAATGAATCAGTCCCTCAACCCACAGCAGCCTGCAATGGCACAGCTTCACCAAGGCACCCAAAACCTGTTCCTGGCAGCTGTTGGGTTTAATAAAGGCCTGGACTAGAAGATCAGGTTGTCTCTCCCTTCCCCAGTTCTCCCATCAGTTCCCACTGTTTCTCCTTGGAATGCGACACCTTTTCCCCAGGCTGTTTTTCCACCAGACTCCATCCCTTGCTTCCCTGCAATTAGCGATGGCAACTTTATTTGTGATTGGAAGCAGTAAATTGAGGCTGCTCAGAGCTTCACAGGCCTCTTGGCAAATGTCACACTTTCTATTTAGTGAGGCTTTTTAAAAAATAATTATATTTAGTAGTTAACCTAGAGCTTTGGAAGACAATAATTAAAGAAATACCCCTCCTCTGGAAAAAAAGTTTGAATTAAAGCATCTAGCAAGGAACCTGGATGTGACACATGAACTGGAAAGGTTCCTGACAGAGTGGTGGGTTTTACTTTGTAGTAGAAGTATGTAGAGCCAAATAAAACAGAAAGGACAATTTAAAAAACACTACAAAATCTTGTCTTTGAAATTAAACAATTAAAAAAACAGTGAGTACAGAAGGACTTTTAGGGTTGGCCTGGGACTTAATCAGCAGCCGGTGGCATCAGATACCCAGTAAAAGCCATGAGCCAACTCTTTTAATCTCTACTCCTAAGCCAATGGCAGACCAGAAATTAAATTAAGGTCTCCTCAGTATCATCTCTAACTGCATTAACTTATTCCAACTCCTGCAGGCAGAGCCCAGGGTTTCCTTTTGTCTTTATGAATGGACCCAATGTTGCTGCCTGAGGACAGCAAAGTAAACAGATGACAAAGGGACCAGCCCTCTGGATGTAACCACCAGCTTCAGGATTTAGTTGTCTAAGAATGTTTAACTTCTCTTTTATTGGCAGAGACAACATAGCAGGGAGAAAACACTTCTGTGTGGAGCAAGGTACTTCTGATGAAGCCATCCACACACAAACACCAGCAGCACTGAAGAAACAAACGTCCAAGATGGTCCTATCAGGATGCCCAAGGAGCTGAGCCTCCAGCCCCATCCTCTCCCTTCCCAACCACCCTGTTCCTCATCATGATCCCCCCACACATCCACTCTGCTGCTGCCACCCAGCTCAGCCCAGCTAAAGCCCCTGTTCTTCTCAGCATGGGACCCCCACAGAGATGTCACCAACAGCAACCTGGCCACCCCCCACTCCCGCCATCACACATGGCTTGCTGAACTCTCCAGGTGGCCCTAAACCCTAGCCTACAGAAGTCCTGTATCCCACAGGGCTCCCACACAATTCCTAAGATATCACACTTGGATTTGCATATTAACTTGACTATTTCATAATTCTCCCATTAAATGGTACATTCACTCCAGAAGACTTAGTTTTCTGGCAATTTTATTTACAGTCTGCAGAGTTTTCTGTAAAACACAGCGATGATTACAGACCAAAACACACAACATATATATTTTCAAACATTTAAATAATCACATTTTATTCAAAAGTAATTCTACACACTACTTTTTCCATAAAAATATAAAAAATAGCTTAGTTACTATATTTTACCTAAACCAAGATATTTAGGAATTCTTCCACATGTGATGTCCCCTCCCCAAAAAAGGGCACTCCAACAGTAAGAAATTCAGGAGACTGCATCACAAATGAATATACTAATGCCAACTGCTTCAACTCACCAAAAGAAGAAATAACTTTCCATGTGCAACCACGTTCTGCAGTATGTTTGGATTTTGCTTTTGCTGGGGCTGGGTTTTATTTTGCACTAAGGTGTCTCTCCCATGCCAGATTTCCACAGACACGTGCACACGATCATACAGAAATACTGATTATCCTGCAGACCCTGGTGCCAGTCACCACGTGCCAAGCACCACGAATTGGTCATCTTGCATCACACAGCAATTTTTTGCAAAAATATCAAAAAGGTCCCTTTGGGACCCCTACTGAAAGGAGACTCTTTCTTACTGAGCATCCAAAGTAGCCTTATTCCTATCTCCTTGAAGGTAGTGCCCATTTTTTGTTTATTACTACTGCTTTTACTGACCATATGCTATATGGAAAGCTAATGGAGTTCTGAAAAACACCCACTCAAGCCCTTCTCTCACTAGGATACATTTAATTTACAAAAAAAGGCACAAAGATGGAACTCCCAAGCAGCATCAGTCCTAACTCTTCCACTGTGCACTGCTCCCCTTCCTTACCCAGCCATTGCTGCAAGAGACACTCTGTGTCTCAGAGAACACCACAAACACATGAGCTAAGGAGACAGGAGAGCTGAACAGACCAAAGACTCTGTACAAGCAGGACACTGATCCCTAACAAACAAACACTACCCAAGGTTCTATGTCGCAGTTAAGACTCGACCTGGAAGCATCAGGAAAAGCCATCAGAGAAAAGCTCAGCAGCACATAATACATTTGTTAACAGTGAGATGGAAGGCCCTCTGTGTGCCACATGGTGCATTCAGGTTCAAGAATGGCAGTGCTTCCCAGCCAGCAGTGTGAAACTTCTGCTTCTGACAGCCTGGAGGGTTCTCTAAGTGCCAGCAACAGAGCAGCAAGCACACGATGCACAGCATGACCTGCAGCAAAAAGCTTTAGCTTCCCAGCATGTAAACATCCAGGTTTCTGGACCTTAGCTCTTATAAACAAATCTGATGATAGAGTTTTGAACTAAAAAAGTTAAATTTTCCATAAAAGGATAAACCACAAAAATACTCTTTCAGCAAGTCTCACGTGCCATTTAATACTTTTCATGTCCTATGAACAAACTATGCAAAACATTTAGAAAGTTTTAGCAGTAGAAATGTTGACCAGCTGAACTGTTTGGCAACCACGTGCTCAGAACATCTCTGAAGGGTATTATCATTTCCTAAACAACAGTCCTGCACCATACCAGGCTATTTCTTCTTCTTTTTCTTTGGTGGCTCATCATCGGAGCTACTGTCTGTGCTGCTGCTGCTGCTGCTGGAGGAACTAGAATCCGAATCAAACTCTGAAGAGGAGGAACTACTGCTCGAGGATGGAGAAGATGAGGAAGTGGAGGAGCTCTCGTCACTGTCACTGTCATCAGAAGAAGAGGAGGTAGAAGAATCTTCACTGTCAGATGAGGAATCACTAGCTGAACTGTCACTACTGCTGCTGCTGGAACTGGTCACACTTTTTGATCTGAAAGGAAACAGAGACAGATGAGACCAGGCCTGCAAGAGACAGCACCCATCACACAGTGTTCTTTGTACTGTGTTGTAATCCAAAGATCAATTATTTGGTCTGAACACTTCCAGGCCCAGGGAGGTGGTTGAGTCACCATCCCTGGATGTGTTTAAGAATCATTTGGATGTGGTGTTGGTGGATATGGTTTAGGGGAGAGTTTTGTATAGCAGGGATGATGGTTGAACTCCAAGGGGCTTTTCCTACATGAATAGTTCTATTCTATTATTCTATTCTATGATTAAGACAAATTCCCACCCTCCACGCCCTGTCCCCTTCTAATTCCAAGCAAATGCATTTTGGCCATTAAGCAAGGGCAAAGGGGAGGAAGCTACAACAGCACTGCAGAAGAAGGTTCAGTCTGAAAGCTGGTGAGGATCCTGTTCACAGGAATGATGAGTGTCTTTACTGCCTTGGCTAACAGAAGAGCAAGGCTGCAGAGGTATGAATGTCCTGCACTGCTAAAGCTCCAGGGTGAAATTAACAAAGATCAGCTGCCAGGACTCCACTCCAACAGGGAGAGACATTCTGGCAATGTAGAAGTTGGTGAAAACCACTGCACAATGCTCATGTTTTCAGGGTGGAGGAGCAGCAGTGGAAACAGTCCAAGATAAAGACAGAATTATGAACACAGCAAAGTGAATTCCTGTATCCTCTTCATATTTTTTTAAATTAATTTTCATTTTTAGCCCTTACTGAAGCTGTTACCAAGAACAAGGCAATTACCTGATTAAGGCAACATGAATCCCAAGAAAGCCCAATTAAATTCTCCCACAGATCTTTCTCCAAACAACACACAGAGGTGCCAATTCACCCCACTTACCACCAAGTCAACCCAACAGCACTCAGAAATGCATTTTGGAACACATGCTGTCACCCCTCTCCCAAGACCTGTTGTCATTTCCAATTCTACTGCAATCAGCTAACAACCCCAGGTGATTTTAAACATGCCACTTAAATAAAATCTACATCTCCAGCAGAACCACAGCTGGGTGCCTGAAAAAAAAAAAAGTGACTGAAGACATGATTTTACCCTTCAGACAGGTAAATTTAGATGTGATTCAAGCATAAAATGGGCTTTCAATTAACAACCCAAGAATGGAGTATGGGAACATGCACCCAGAGAGCTCAGTGTCACCTGAGGTCACAAGATTGTACAACAGCTGTTCTGCCTGTTCCTGTTTTTCTGGTTAAGCCTGTAGCTTACTTATTACTGTTTATATCAAAACACACACACACACACACTATGTAAAAGGTTAGTGCTCACTACTGCCAGAAACCTCACTTTTGCATTTATTTTTTTTTAATCTGGAACTTATCTATTCAATGGCAATCCTTTGCTGAATTTTTCTGCATTTAATTCTTCCTGCATCATAATAAAAATATAAATAGCAAACTACCCAGAAAGGAATTTATATTGATGGATTTGGTGCTTGTATAAACACAGGATAACAATTCAATCTTGGGAGAGCTTTAAAATGTCAAGGAAAAAGTGACCAAACCACCTCATCCCCAATAAATCTTTTTATTCTTCTCATTTTTGCATTGGTTTAGAGCTCAAAGGTGGGTGGGAGATTCATTTCCTGGATTTTGTTTTTGTTTGAGATTGGAGGTTTTTTGTTTGGTTTGGGGGTTTTTAGGTGCTTTATTTCATTCTGTAGACAAAGCTTCAGAGAAAAAAGGAAGAGCAAGATGGGCAGGTAGAGCAATTCCAGACTAGAAAGCAGGGTGCAATTCTTGCACAATTGCTTAAAATACACTTGATGAACTTCAGGCAGATATAGGAGGATTTTTAGTATTAAAGCAAGATCATGCAGAGATAGGACAATTAGTGAGACAAAAAGCAGGGGACAAAGAATTTAGAGGTTTTGAACAGGGAGGTGTAGAAATTCTCCAAATGCCTGCACCAGGCTGAAGGCAGTGAAGTCAGAGCTGTGTTTGCAATGTTGACCTCCCCCCACATCCCTTCCCAGCCCCCTGCTGCAATCCCTAGTGCCAGATCCCACCTCTGACAGCTGCTCGGTTTGCCCACATACCTTTTTTTCTTGGTCTTCCTTTCTGCAGTACTTTCTCCAGTGCTAATTAGGAGGTGGGGGGAGGGAAAAAACAATGGTTTTGATTAATGCAGTAGGAAAATTCAATAAACAGCAGCACAGTGGAGATGAGTTTGATGTTGGAAGACTGGTATCCCTCTGGCAGGGGGCCACACTGCCCAAAGGTCACTTGGCACCTATTTTCAGTCACTATTCAAACCAGAACAATAACAATATCTACAAACCAGGAAAAAAAAAAAAAAAAAAGCAGCATTTCATCTCTAGCTTCCCATGTTAAGTATGCTTTCTTCTGTTTTACTCCTTTCTTCATATTAGATGGGCAAGAACATTTTGGGATGGGAAAAGCATAGGGAAAAGGATACCAAAAATATTCAGTGTGACCATATTTAGCAATAACTGAATTAACTGAAACAAAGGGTAAAATACTGAATTAATCTGGAGCTTTCACCATGTATTTAAAGCACAAGAAGACATGGATAATCTCTTTATACTGACGCTTTCCAGCTATTTATCTCTCCAATTCCCATGTATTCATACATTCAGTGGTTAAAGACATAGAAGAAAGTTTCTTTTAACAAAACACTACAAGTTTGTGGTGGCTTTTTTATAAACAGTCTTTTTAATTCTCTCAGTCAAATGTACCAGTCACCTGCTCTTCTCAATCCTTTGCAAATACACAGCACATAATTCAAGCAGGAACAGACGTGTGGCATTCAATGTGCCACTGATGTGTGTGTGAGGCAGTTGTTCTTTCATTAACCTGGAGACTTTTGCCTCAACTGAAACTTATTATCTTAGATACACAGAACTAGAAGTAACAACTGCAAATATATTTCATTCAGAAATCAGACAGCAGTCTGCATGGAGAAAGACTCCAGAAGAGACTCCGTATGTTTAATTAATTCAGCATGTGTGCAACCCGGGCTGCCAAGCACAGGTCTGTGCCTCCCTCTAGTGTTCAGCCTACGGATCAGGACAGAAACTGGCAACTGCAACCCTCTGTAGATCTATCATCTGCTTCATGAACCTTGGTTGTCTCCCCTGGGGCACCACACTGTCTTCAGAACCATCATGAAGACTGGGGCATCTGGTTTTGGTTCCATGCAGTAACATAACCAAAGAATTTGTGTCTTCTCCCCTGTCATCCCCTCCCAACTCCCACTCCAGGATGGGCAGTGGGCTTTGCTGACACCAATTAGAGCAGCCTCTGCAATGTCCATCAAAATTGTGGGGCCAACACTGGGCAAACAGAGGGATCCTGGAACAACTGCTGAAGTGAGTTAGTGCTGAAAAATCTTGTATGTTCTTGTAAAAAAGTAAACATTAACCTTGTTAGACTATGTTTGCATTCTGGTTAATGATTCATCATCAGATCTTTAATGATAAGGATACAAATACTCAGAAGCAGACCCGTAGGAGACAACTTCTCTGCAGGCAAGGAATAACCTTCCAAAGCAAGCCATGCAAAACGTCAAAGCCTGACCTAGGAACCTGCTCTTTCCATGAATAATACGCTTCATCCCTGAAAGTGTAACACTGGCACCTAAGGAACTGGATGCCTCATGGCAGGTACAGTTAAGGAGCTTCAGAAAGCTTATGATTATGCAACCAGTATGAATCCAGCCCAATTTAACCAGGATGAAAAACTGTTCCCACCTAAGTCTTCCCTTTATGAGCTGACTTTTCACCCCACATACCCCTTGCACCGTGGGGTGTTAAGACTTACAACTCAATAATCTCCCCTCCAGACACACTGGACAGACCTCCAACTCTTATCCATATAAAATTACCCCCCCACACACACACAGGCACAATGGGCAGGTGACAAGCTAGTTCACCCTCAAAGCACTGTCCTCCCATGTTAAACTGCAGAATTCAGCGGAAATAGGGCAGGGAAGGCACAAAGAAATAATCTATCTTAAACTCAATCTTTGTCTTAAAAGCCTTGAGTTTCTGAAGAACTCTCCTAAACCCCATTCCCAAAAGGAGCAAGTTTTAGAGCCTGAGCACTGCTGGCTTCTTATCTACAACACCAGGGGATTACAATTGATTCAGAATTACTCACTGGATCAAAATTAATTTCAGAATCAAATACTTTATGTCACTCTGAATACAAGCTGATGGGCTGCCACTGAAGTCAGGAGCTCAGCACTCTGATCCCTGCTTCTGCTGTCACATCAGGCCTCTCTGCCCACACACAAAATAACCTTTTCATTAATAAACATTTTTATTCTTACCTTTGTTGCAGCAATAGTTGCTTTTCTTTTTCTTTAAGAATTTGTGCTAATTGGGCTGTCCTTGAAGGTCTATGCAGATATTTTCTCTTCCCTGTACATTCATAGGTCCAATGTCCAAATTCTAAACACTTCTGACATCGCACATGCTGCTTGTTTGCCTCCCTGGAAAAGTGCAGAATCACTTAAGTGACTGACTCCAAATCTCTTCTACCTATGAAAAAATGTGTTTATCATACAGATTCTTGGCAGTGTGTGTAGTTACAATTAAACCAGACACTCATGAGTGCTTTAGCTGTTGTATGTTTTCAATCAGGACAAGAACAGTAACAGAATTTAAGCAAACACATTTCCATTTAATAAAACATTCTCACAACAAGTATTTATGAAAGAGAATAAAGAGAGACTCTTCCTCTGTTCTGGAGCTTCAGCTTCAAGTCCTCTTCTGCTAAAGCAGCAAGAGCTGAGATATGGCATCAGCTGTCACCATGCTTATCAACTGTGCCTGAATCCCAGTGTATCCCAGCTGCTGGTCAGCCTTCCTTGCACTCTCCAGATCCTGTAATTCTCCACCCCTTCTAAAACTGTAAACAACTTCAGCATTTTGAGAAATGCCTCTGGGATCATTCTCTGCCAGCCAACCAAGATTCACCCTATCATCAAAATCACATTTTGATCAGCCTAATTGGTGCAGCTTTTAGCATGACAGAATTGTACAAGAGTTCCTGGGAATGATTGCACCATGCACAATGTGTTCCTTGTCCAGTAATTGCACATGGTTCTGGCCTGGCTCAGGTAAGTAATTACCTCGTAGAACACTGTTAGGTAAAAGCAGGCAGCTCCGCTTCTAAATCCTAGGATTTAATACAAGGAGCAAATCACCAAATTCTCACAGACAGTCTAGGATTCTGAGCAGCTAAACCAGAAATTATCTTGGTTGCGGATTCTTTCAATTTACCAAGATTAACTAAAGCCTGCCAGAAGGGTTCATCATAATCAGGTTCTGGCTCCCTTTATGCAAGGTAAATCAAGCAAGACTTCACTTGCTGCTCTGTACCATCCAAATATCTGAAGAATTCCATGAGCATTTTACATCCAAACTTCAGTTTTTACTCTGTGGTAAAATCCTTTGATCATTTCTAGAAGCCAATTAAGGGAGAAAACTCAGGTTTTCATATTCTAGCTCCTACTCCACTACCCTGAAGATTTACAACAGCTGTTCTGCTCTCTGCTCACAGGACCCTCCTCCTTTACAAATAAGGAAACTCAGACACTGGTCACACAACTTGCTCAAGGTCAGAACCACAAATCAGTTTGAGAGCCAGGATCTGTAGCTCCTGTACAGTTCACTCCAACTTATTTCCACCTTCTGTAATGCTTTCCAAACAGCAAAATCCTAATTTTTCAGAGCCAGCTCCTCTAAACTATCCAAAGGTAACAGCCTTGGCTTAACTAGGAGGAGGCCCCTAGACTGCCTAGTTAGTATTCAGAGAGCATAAGTCTCAGACCAGCAGTGAGTGTTTTCCTCTCAAAAGGAGTGTTGCTTTTCAAGACAAGGTGTGAATTGCTTCTCTTTCAGCTCCAGCCTTTGTGACAGTCCTACTCTAACTTGAGAGGAATCTTGCTTGGAACATCCGTTGCTTTTTCAGTGCAAAAAGTATTTGGCTTTATAATACCTGCAGGGGGGCTACAGAAAAGCTAGGGAGGGGCTTTTCACCAGAGAGGGCAGCAAGAGGACCAGGGATAATGGTTTTACACTGAAAGAGGGATGATTTAGGTGAGACATCATGAAGAAATTCTTCACCACGAGGGTGGGAAGGCACTGGCACAGGCTGCCCAGGGAGGTTGTTGATGCACCATCCCTGGAGGTGTTGAAGGGCAGGTTGGATGAGGCTTGTGCAGCCTGGGCTGGTGGGAGGTGTCCCTGCCCATGCAGAGGGGTTGGAACCTGAGGATCTTTAAGGTCCCTTTCAACCTTCACCATTCTAGGATTCTATCATCATCTAGCCTGAGAAACACGGATCAGCAATAGAAAACTAATTCAACCTGCAGCCTATGCTGCAGTTAACTGAGACCTGAGCAGGAAGCAGGACATCTAGTAATTAAAACAACCCCAATGTCTTTGAAGGGTTTGCTTTGTCTTGCCTTGGGCTTCTGGCTCTGCCACTGAAGTTACACAGCAGAATGATGATACTCCCTCCTCTTCCATCCACCTACTAACCCAAGAAGGTGAAGTTTATTTTCCTATTTCAAACTAGCCCAGACCTGTCTCCACAGGAATAGAATGGAAGTTTAAAGCCACAATCATATTATTTCCAGGGTTTTAGTACTACTCACATGACCAGGGCTGACAATTCTATGCAAGCTAAAACAATAACATCAAGTCCTAAGAGCAAGATAAATAATTGCCACCAACACAGGTCAAAATAGCTCAACAACTACAGATCCTTAAACACCAAATCAGCACTAACAAGTTTTAACACTAATGAAAACAAAGATTGATGACCACAACCTAGGAGCCAAGACTAGCTGGGGTACAATTCAGCACAGACCCACCAAGCACTTGAGAGACTTCACAAGAACTGTAAGAAATCATACCTTGACTCCTCATAAAAGAGGAACTAGAAAGAAAAGTATTCCATGAGTACTCTGAAATTGCAAGTAACATTTCCTTGGAAAATATCAAAGAAATTATACTGAATAATAAAAAAGAGAATGCAGGTATCATCAATATTCTGACTCTTAACGATCACACAAAAAACCAAACCCACTCCAAAAATTGTAAGACAAGATACAAATTATTCTAGGGAAGAAAAATAAACATCCAAATCAGCAAACAACAGAAAAGCCAACACAAGCAATCCATGACAGTGAACTACAGGCTCTTGCTGTACTTTACATGAAGGACCAAAAACGTTGGCTTTTCCTCATTTCAGTGTCGGGCCATCCTTAGGTACTGGGAAAATTACTTCAGCGCAGCAGCCAGAGCTGAGTAAAGGTCGCTTTATTATTTTTCTTGCCTCTCTTTTACCGTGCAGCAAACATCTTTTTCCTCATTTCAGTGTCGGGCCATCCTTAGGTACTGGGAAAATTACTTCAGCGCAGCAGCCAGAGCTGAGTAAAGGTCGCTTTATTATTTTTCTTGCCTCTCTTTTACCGTGCAGCAAACATCTTTAACACGGTTGAAAAGCCCAGGGAGGCCCTGCACGGGCCGGACACGGAGCCCGCGGCACCTCCCGGGCCGCCCCTGCCCAGAGCGCTGCCCGCGCGGCGCCCG